TTTATTTTATGTGTATGCATGTATTGCCTGCATGTATGTAAGTGCACTCATGTCATGTAATGCCTGAAGAAGACAGGAGAGGTTGTCCAATCCCCTGGAACTGCAGTTTGGGACAGTTGCTAGCTGCCATGTGGGTGCTGGGATTCGAACCCAGGTCTTCTTCAAGAACAGTCAGTGTTCTTAACTGTTGAGCCGTCTCTTTAGCCCCTCACAGTTCTTTTTTAATGTTGGAATTTCAGGTATGTGGAACTGTGCCCATCTGGAATTGTTCATTTTAATGACATTAAAATTTTTAATTGTAATTTTAAATATTTTCTGGGGACGTAGTTTAGTTGGTAGAATGCTTGCCTAGCATGCATAAAGCCCTGGGTGCTGTCCCTAATATGAAGCAAAACGGGGCTTTGCGGCACACACTTGTAATCCAGGTGGAGGCAGAATGATCAGATGTTCAAGGTAATCCTTGGCTTAATGGGGAGTTTGAGATCAGTCTGGGCCACTGAGATCCTTTCTTTAAAATTTAAAGTAATTTTTTTTTCTGTTAAACACAACATAGTTGTTGGATAGGAATACGTATCACTCAAAAGTGTATAGTGGGCATCTAAAACACAAAGAACTGGCAGTTTTAAAAATAATTACATGTTAAAATACTATGTTGACTATTTTTGGTTAAGTAATTATTACAACTTTTCTTTTATAAAAAGCTATTCCATTTATTTACTTTGTGTGTGCATGTGAGTGTGGGTTTGTCAGAGGACATTTCTTGTCTTCCACCACGTGGGTCCTGGAGATTCAAACTTAGGTTGTCAGTGCTGGCTGCAAGCACCCTTACCAGCTGAACCATCTCCTTACTCTTTATTATTTTTTATTAACGTGGCTACCAGAAAATGTAGAGTTGCACAAGTGGCCAGCATTTTCTTTCTATTGGCCACCACTGCCCTGTGGGATGTTTTTACTTTGGCTGCTAAATTCAATTGCTGTGGCAATTAATGGAGCTGGTGGCTCAGTGTTTCCTGGAAAGGAAAATGAGGTGGGGGAGGGTGGTGTGAGCTCGGGCGGGCTTTCTCAGAGCGGGTTTTCTTGGATGTCACGTTTCCTTCAACCTCAGTTCTCTTCCATGATTCAATTTAGAAAATATCCTCATTTAAGTAAAGAAGAATCAGGCTTGCTGCAGCCAGTCTCATCCATTTGAATTCTAGGCCGCAGACCAGAATCCTGAGTGAAGATGGTCTTCCAGCTTACCAGTTCACATGGCTGCTTCCGCCATGGCCCCTGCTGGGAGGGGGTTGCTTGGTGCGTTAGCAGGCTCTGGAATTTAAGCATTGCTGCTTCCCTGGCCTGAGCCTTGGCATATCATTCACATACTCTTTAATCACAAACTCAGCTGTTCCCTGGTTTCTTCTCACTGAAGCCCCTTCTGCCAATCAGCAACCTTCTTCGTCCTCTTCTCCCATTTCAGCTTTTTGTTTTGTTGGCCGTTTTTTTTTTTTTTTTTTTTTTTGAGACAGGGTCTCCCTGTAGCCCCAGCTGTCCTGGACCTCACTATGTAGACCAGGCTGGCCTTGAACTCACAAGAGATCCACCTGCCTCTGCCTCCCAAGGGCTGGGGAGGCACTTGGTGGCGCACGCCTTTAATCCCAGCCCTTGGGAGGCACTTGGTGGCGCACCCCTTTAATCCCAGCCCTTGGGAGGCACTTGGTGGCGCACGCCTTTAATCCCAGCCCTTGGGAGGCAGAGGCAGGTGGATCTCTCTGAGTTCAAGGCCAGCCGATCTACATAGTGAGTTCCAGGCCAACTGGGACTACAGGGAGACCCTGTCTCAAAAAAAAAAAAAAAAAAAAAAGGTATGGTGCATGCCCTGTTAGGGAATTAGGATTGTATACCTCAATTGATCCTCTCCTTCCTGTAGCCCAGGAGAGTTGGTCAGGCTGCTAGAAATCCAGACTTTCTGCACCTCCGAAGAGATTTCATTAAAGAGGGCAGTGGAGAGTCAGCCCGGGCGAGTTCTTCCCGGTTTTCTTAGCCAGGCTTTCCCTTCAAGACTGGGTCTAGAATGAAAACGCAGCTAACGCATAGGATTACGCACTTTCAGGTTTAACACTCCAGCGGATCGTGGCACCCGCTCCGCGCGGCCTCTGCCCTCACTCTGCCTCAGATCTGAGGTCTTCTATCTGGACTCACGGCATCCTAAGCACATTCAAATGCGAAAAGTAGCACATCTGCCTCCCCTTTGAGGCTTTTGGTAACATTTTTCTGTGAAACAAAGAGGTAGTCTGCTCTAGAAAAAGGGAAGGAATTTGGATGAGCCTTTAAAAAAAAAAAAACAGTGAAAAAAGAACTGCGGGAAGGATGTGGTTTTCAAAAGGGGGCAGGGGTGGGGTGGGGGAGGAGTCCTGAAGTTCTGATAACTTAGGTCACAGAACTCAGGTTCTGGGTGTGGGGAGGGGGAGGGCTGGATGGGGGAGGCCTGAGGCTCCACCCCTTGCAGAGATTATAAAGGCGAAGGCTGGGGGCCGGCGGTGCTAGTGTGACGGTCGCGGAGAGTGCTCCCGGGGTGGCTGTGCTGCCGAGGACATTTTGAAGGTTCTGCTGGCTGGAGAAGGTGCCTCAGGAACCCAGCCTAGATCTTTCTTGAAGTCTCGAGGAGAATTAAATTAGGACCATGGGGACACCGAAGGTAAGCGTGGTACCATTGCTGATTAATTTTGGCTTCCTCGAGGTCCACTCTAAGGCCAGTCTTGGTGCCAATGGCCATGGTCTAGACCCTCCTACGTCACCGAGCCATCTCTGGGCCTTTGCGTACCGGCTCCAGCATCGGATGCTGGCGGCGCGGTTCTCTCTCCGCCTGTCGTGACTGATGAGGGAGTCATTCCGGCTGCGGGCTCATTATGTGAAAGTTAACGAAGGAGCTGAGCTGTTGGCTTCTCGGGTGTGTTCGCGGTCACTAACTCTACGGTGGGTGAGGCAGCTTGAGAGCGCAGAGGATGGGGCGACTTGGCGTGTGGATTTCGGGGGCGTCTCAGCAGCAGGAAGGCTTGTGGGGGCGGTAGACCTTGAGCACCTGGGATCGGTTTGGGAGCGCAGGCTAGGGTCCAGCATCTATCTGTCTCAGCTAGGGATTGCCCGTATGTTGCGGAAGACGTTCAGCTGTCCTTGTGACTATGATTGTGGGTGTATAGGGTATGTCATGTTATTGTGGGATGGAGTTACAGTTTTTGTAAGGGGAAGGGCATTTTCACTAAGATAAATTTATTTGAAGTTAAAAAGGGATGAAAAAAGTGGACTGCAGGAGGAAGGGTTCCTCAAAGATGGTGAGTGATGAGATAGACAGAGAGGCTTTTACTGCAAGGAAGAGGACTAAACAGCGCTGGGAAGGGCAAATCTAGGGAGAGGACAGACGTGAGAGGCTGGGAGGCTGCTGGGAGGTCAGGATCAAACAAGCTTCCAGCCTGCCTCCCTGTCTGACCTGGAGAAAGGCGCTTAAAGATAGGTTGAAGGGATTGTGGGTGAACCAAAGAAAAACACCTTAGACTTCAATTTGAGTTACCCCTGCCGTCCTGAATGGTTCCCGGCAAGGTGAGAGATGGCTGGTGATTCCTCTGCTAAAAATGGCTCCTAATGTTGCTGGAAAAGAGCAGGAGTGCTCCCCAGTTGGGTAGGGAGAGTGATGGCACATTCAGTAAACAGGAGGATTTCACGAGGGCCCAGGATGTTGCTGGTAGGTGACATGGTCCAGAGATAAGTGCTCAGACCTAGGTACCCATCAAAAAAAAAAGAGTGGAAAAAGAAAATAAGGTATATGTACACTATGGCGTAGTAGTCAACTATAAAGAAGAAGGAAATCATTTAGAGAAAGATGGGTGAATGTGCAATAAACCAGATACAAAAGGAAAAGCATTGTGTTTTCTCAGACATGGGCAACACCTGTAATCTCAAGCACTTGAGACCGAGGCAGGAGGATCGAGGGGAGTGTGAGGCTAGCCTGGACTACAGTGTGAGACACTGTCTCAAAACGGAAAAGGGAGCCGGCTGTGGTGGCCCACGCCTTTAATCCCAACACTTGGGAGGCAGAGGCTGGCGGATCTCTGAGTTCAAGCCCAGCCTGGTCTACATAGTGACTTCCAGGCCAGCTGGGGCTACAGGGAGACCCTGCTTCAAAAAGACCGGAAAAAAAAAAAAAAAAAAAAAAAAATGGCTTTTAGAAAAGGGGTGGGGTGGAGGCTGGGAGGAAGGAGAGCGGGGAAGGCAGGAGGAGTAAGGGAGAGGGGATGGAATCAAAGCTGGATGTGGAAATGTCTCTGTAAAACCACTGGCTTGTTCTGTTATACATTCAAAAAGCAGCCTGCTAGCAAAGCTGCTACCACTGCTCCTGCCTCTGCAGTCTAGGGGGGAGAACACTGGCTCGGCTTGGAGAGTAAGCAATTCTTCGGAACCCTAAAGCTGTCTTTCCCACTGTCTTTCCTGTGTTTTGGAGGGTTTGGGATTTTGTTTTGTTTTTTGAGACAGGGTCTACGGACTATGTAGACCAGGCTGGCTTCCATCGCATAGAGATTCCCCTGCTTCTTTACAGGTGCCGCGTGCCTGATTTGTTACTCTAGCCCAGGTTGGCCAGAAATTCATTGCTATCTATACTCCTGCTTCCGCCTCCTGAACTTCTGGGATTATGGGCGTGAGCTACCAGGCCCTCCTGGACCTCCAGTGCCTTAGTGCAACTCCATGTCTGCCTTTTGGTTTGGTTTGGTTTGGTTTCCTGCTTTTCTTTTCAAGGCAAGGTCTCATTATGTGAATAATCCAGACTTGAACTCATGAGCCTCTTGGCCTCATCCTCTAACTTCTTCCTTTCCACATTTTCCTGAAGTCCAGCTTCAGGAGGCAGAGGCAGGAGGATTGTGTCAAGATAGAAGCCAACCTGTTCCATATAGCCTGAAACCCTGGAGAGAGAGAAGGAGAGAGGCTATGATTTGCTAGCATTTAAGGATTTTCTGTGTTCTTCTGCCTTTCAGGTGACCGCATCTCTGGTGTTCGCCATAACCGTTGCCACGATTGGCTCCTTCCAGTTTGGCTACAACACTGGAGTCATCAATGCTCCTGAGATGGTGAGTGACCAGCAGCATGAACGAGAATTTGGTGGATGAATAGCAACCTTCTTTCTTTAAATAAGGTTAAGCTTCAGAATTTAGCTAAGGTGGAGGAGGGAAATATACTGTGGTAGACCTTTAGCAAAGAGCCCATTTGGTTCCTGTATCCGGCCTGTACTCTTCTTCCTCTTCCCTTTCACTGAGTGGTGATACAGTTCCTATATTATTCCTTAGGGATTAGTAGCAATTTAGAGACTTTAGGAGAGTGGGGTGTTCCATGAAAATCTGTGCTGCCATCTAGTGGCAGAACAGTACAGTGTTCTAGAATTGCTCAGAGCCTTTCTTCCATCCCATCTGTGCCTGTCTCTAGGGGAGTAAGAAGCCACCTCCAGTATTTGTCTCCTCTTGTCATCCAGATTTAATGATCGGCCCTCCCACCATTTATTTTGTCACACAGATCATAAAGGACTTTCTTAACTACACTTTGGAAGAGAGGTTAGAAGACCACCCGAGCAAAGAACTGCTCACGACCCTCTGGTCCTTGTGTGTGGCCATCTTCTCCGTCGGTGGCATGATTGGCTCCTTTTCTGTTGGACTCTTTGTGAACCGTTTTGGCAGGTATTGTCCAGAAGCTGGGCAAGGAATAGGGCCAACCTGGGTGCACTGAAGACCCAGTGTTGGGTCAGGGAAGTGCCTGTGTGGAACACATGGAATTCTGCTCAAGGAAACCTAGTCCACCTGGTCTTGAATATGGTTGTTCTTTTAAGTTCTACTGACTTGTAAAGCTCCATTTCGGCCTTCCAAGAGATCTGCTCAGTGAGCATTTGGCCCCTCCAAGTCCAGCTTGATCTAGCTTGGGTTATTCTCTAGCGAGGTCAGCTACGGAGTTTCCCTAAAAGACCACTTAAGGTCAGAAATTATTTTCTTTACCGATAAAGTTTCCAGTAAATCTTTTCACTATTTTAAACAAATAGTTTTGTAATCCTTGTCTTCTGGAAAATATAGACAGTGGTTAAAAACTCCTCCAAAGAGAAAATTGGAAATTGAATCTTTTAGCAATAGCTTAATAAAATGTCTTAGCAGTAGCACACATACCCCCCATACTCATAAATACATTTTTTAGATTTTTTTTTTTCTATTTAAGATAGTCTCCCTGTGGCCCCAGCTGACCTGGAATTTGCTATGTAGACCAGGCTAGCTTTGATCTCAGAGTTCTGCCTGCCTCTGCCTCCTGTACACCATTGTGGCTTTTAAAACTTTTATCTAGCTTTTAAAATAAAAAAAAAAATAAAATAAAAAAAAAAGCTAGCTGCTGGGTGTGGTAATGCCTGCCTTTAATTCCCTCACAAAGGAAGCAGAGATAGGTGGATCCAGACTAGTCTATACAGCAGGCCAGCCAGGGTTAAATAGTGACACCCTATCTCAAAAAGCTAGATAATCTAGGTATGCAAATAGAATCTAAGCTAAATAATAAAGTAATCTATTATTTGATGTTTAATTTTATTTTGTTGTTTTGAGTCAGGGATTTTATGTAGCCCCATCTGGTCTCAATCTTACAAAGATCCTCCCAGCACTTATTTTTTTAATGGGGAACCTCAAATACTATGGCTTTTTTCCCCTAAGAGCTGTTGGCATCACTACAATCTAATCCTTAGCTTGCAAAGGAAAGCTGACACTGAGTAGCTAAGCCACCTGAGTATAATTTTCTGTCCAAAATATCTTATCATCATTACAATATTGGTTCAGTCTAAGGAGGAACTATACTGCATGAAATGTATTAGTAAAAACTTGCTATAAGGGGGCCAGCAGGATGTTCAGTGAACAAGCCTAGTTCAATCCTTGGAGCCCCACGTAAAGGTGGAGAGAGACCAGACTCGAGAGTTGTCCCCTGACCTCCACACCTGTACTATGGCATACGCACTCCCCCACACACGGTCTTAAAACGAAGCTGGGGAAATAGCTCAGTGATGGGAACCTCTCACAAACTTGACTAATTATACTTTGTATTTTATTAACCTTGCAGGCGCAATTCAATGCTTATAGTCAACCTATTGGCCATCACTGGTGGCTGCCTTATGGGGTTCGCCAAGATAGCCGAGTCAGTTGAAATGCTGATCCTGGGCCGCTTGGTCATCGGCATCTTCTGTGGACTCTGCACAGGTTTTGTGCCCATGTATATTGGAGAAGTGTCTCCTACTGCTCTGCGGGGGGCCTTTGGCACTCTCAACCAGCTGGGCATCGTCATTGGGATTCTGGTAGCTCAGGTACCCTAGATTTTCACATACTTAATAAATGCTAGCTTCGTGGTCAATGAATGAATTAATATATGTACGGCACTTGGTCTGGGGATGGCTCAATATGCCGTGGGCTTCAGATATTGTTACTGTAGCTCATGTGGTAGCTAATAAGGCAGCAGGACACAGAAAGGGAAAGAAACACAGTTAACCTTTCCTATGTGTGATAAAAATGATTTTAGCATAGTGGCACAGCCTTTAATCCAGCACACGGGAGGTGAGACTGGTGCGTCTCTTAGTTCAAGGTCAGCCTGGGCTGTATGGTAAGACTCCATCTCAGAAAAAAAGATTTTCTAAACTTTTTGTGTTTGACCTTTTTAAGACAGACTCTCCTGGCAACACCAGCTTGCCTGGAACTCACTTGCTAGGTAGACCAGTCTGGTCTGGATCTCACAGAGATCCGCCCACCTCTGCCTCCCTTAGTGCTAGTTTTAAAGGCATGCGCCACCATGCCTGGCTTTGTAAACTTCTTAAAAATGAACGGGGTTCAGTGTCCTTTTGTCTGGTTTCTAGGTCTTTGGTCTGAACTTCATCTTGGGCTCTGAAGAGCTGTGGCCTGGGCTACTGGGCTTAACCATCATTCCAGCCATTCTACAAAGTGCAGCCCTTCCGTTTTGCCCTGAAAGTCCTAGATTCTTGCTCATTAACAGGAGGGAAGAGGATCGTGCTAAGGAGAGTGAGTACCCTTCACATGGACCTATGGGAATTTAGTTTTGTGATTGGTTAAGGGTGAGGGTATCAATATGGGTTTGGTTTGTTTCATTTTTTATCCTCTTTTCTCTCCACTTAGAACTTAACATGAAGGTTTCTGATGGCTGAGTTAGTATGAGGTGGGAGGTGGGCAAAGGATGGATGGAGGTCCTCTCGTGTGGCTTCTTCTCTGCTGTCTGGGAGGAAACAGGATTTGGGGGCAGTGCAGTATCTTTAGTCTTTCCTTTTGGCTCTTTTCCCTAGTCCTCCAGCGGTTGTGGGGTACCCAGGATGTGGCCCAGGACATCCAGGAAATGAAGGACGAGAGCACCAGGATGGCACAGGAAAAGCAAGTCACAGTGCTGGAGCTCTTCAAGTCGCCCAACTACCACCAGCCCCTCCTCATCTCCATCGTGCTCCAGCTCTCCCAGCAGCTCTCTGGGATCAATGCCGTGAGTAGTGTCTACTAGGGCCAACGGGCCTGACATTTCCCTGAAAATGCCTCATTTGCCTGGCATGCGTCTGTAAAATGTATTTACTCCAGAAGCTGGAGTGGGAGGACCCAGGACGTAGTAAGACCCCCCATCTCCAGAAAGGATAAACACAGTAATGCTGGAGCCAGGTGTGTGGTACTCAAGGTAGCAAGACTACAGCTGTGAAGTCAATCAGCCTGGTCTACCTGTTGAGCTCCAGACCAGCCCACAGACCTCAAAAAGAAAAAAAGATGGGTCAGGCTTGCTGGTGCCTGCCTTTAATTCCAGCATTCAAGAGGCTGAGGCAGGTGAATATCTGTGAGTTCAGTCAAGGTCAGCCTGTCTTCCTAGTGAGTTACAGGTGCCAGCCTGGGCTACATAGTGAGACACTCAAAAAAAGGTAGGGCTGGAGCTGGAGAGATGGCTCAGTCGTTCAGAACACTGAATGTTCTTACGGAAGACCTAGGTTCATGGCAGCTAACAACTGTCCATAACTCCAGTTCCAGGGGATCCAATGCCCTCTTCTGATCTCCCTGGGCATTGCATGACACGAGTACACTTCCATCTGTGCAGGCAATACACATACATATAAAATAAAAATAACTTTAAAAAAAGAGAGAGAGATTGGGCTTAGGATATAGCTCAGTTGGTAGAGTGCTTGCCTAACATGCATGAAGCTCTGTCTGGGTTCAGTCCCTGGCACCACATAAACTAGGCACGTGGATGTCAGAACTCAAGTGCTAGAAGCAGGATAAGGAGTTCAGGGTCATCCTCGATTATATACTGAGTTCAAGCTCATAAACAAGACTCTGCCTCCAAGAAGGAAGGGGGAAAAGCATCCTGAATCTAAGAGGTAGTTTGAAAAAGCTTCCGAAGAGATTTTGATGGCTCCCACTCAAATCTTCTCACTTGAAAATTATAATGACCACAGGACTCTGGGATCAGCAGAGATGGGACAAAAGTGAGATGCTGAGATGCGTGGGTACAAACAAAACCTTGGGAGTTAATGCACCATTTTTAAACCACCTTGCCTAGTAACCTCCCCGAGGCCTGAAGCTGAAAAACAGACCCAAAAACATTCCAAGTGACAGAGGCACACTGTGCAGAACACCCTCGTCCCACTTCAAGATATGGAGCATGAATTCATTATGTTGAACTAAGTAGGCCCCTGATTACTCAGTGAACAGACAAATTTTGCCCTACCTATAGTCTACCCCAATGCCTGCTGCACCAGAGTCGTAGGGTGGGATTTTCCTGAGTCTACTGACCAGAGCATGTTACATATGTAAGTAGCCTGGACTAGTTTTTGAAAAAATAAATCCGATATACAGAAGGCTTAGAAATCTCTTTTCCAATCCATCTTCAAGCAAATGTTTCTCTTGTTTTGTTTCTTTCTCTTTCAGAGTTAGGCATTAAACTGTAGGTCTGTGGGTATTGGGCAAGTACTCTGCTATTGAACTATATGCCACCCCCCTTTTTTTTTCTTCTACTTTCTTTGGAAAACACAGAGTATCTTAGAGTTGCCCAGTCTGACCTCAAGCTTGGACTCTTCCTGCCTCAACCAACACACTGCTGAAATTGCAGCCATATCTACCATGGACATATTTATGAGATAGATTTTTTTACACAGGGTCTCACATTGTAGACCAGGCTGGCCCAGAACTTAGAGGTCTGCCTGCCTCTGCCTCCCTAGTGCTGGGATTAGAGGCATGCACTACTGCATCTAAATTTTTTTTTCTTTTTAAATATTTTATTATTTTTATTTTATGTGTATGAGTGTATTACTTGCATGTATGCATGTGCACCCATGCCATGCAATGCCCATGGAGGACAGAAGAGGCTGTTGGATACCCTGGAACTGGAGTTAGCTGCCATGTGGGTGCTGGGATATGAACCCGGGTCTTCTGTAAGAACAACCAGTGCTCTTAACCTCTGAGTCATCTCTCCAGTCCCCTAAATTTTTTTTTATGTATCTGTGTTATGTATGATAGGGATCGGGCACATGAAATGGTGCACATGAAGATCAGAGGACAACTGCAGGTCCATTTTCTTCTTTTACATGTGTTCTGGGGATCAAACTCAGGCTGTCAAGTCTGCACACGAGTGCCCTTACGCACCAAACAATTTTGATGGCTTCGTATCAGATTTTTTTTCTTTTAAAGAAGATGGTAATTAGCTCTAGAAGAGTAGTTTTCAATGAGAATAACGCCACAAATCTTAGTTTCAAATACCATAACTGTTCTTTCTTTTAGAAGGTACATAGTTTCCATCTTAGGTCCTAAGCATTTAGAAAGCTATTTATTGAAAAAAGTAACATTCCTTTTCAAATCGGACATCATTGAGCCACTAGATGTTTTAGGGATTTGGAGGGGCAGAGTCCATTAAGAAGGACTTAAAGGTCAGTTGTGCCACTCACCTGTCATCCTAGTGCTTGGGAGGAAAGTGGAGGCAGCAGGATGGCTATGGGTTTGAGGCAGCCTGGGCTATGTAGAGAGTACCAGGCCGGTGAGGGCCACATAGCGGGTTTGTCTTTGAACAAAAATCAAAACAACAAAAAACAAGGGCCAGCAACATGGCTTAGTGAATAAAGGTACTTGCCTCCCAGCCTAACTACCAGAGCTCAATCTTCAGGACTCACATGATGCAAGTGGAGAAGAGACTTTCAAAAGTGGCCATGTCTTCTGGGGCTGGAGAGATGGATCAGTGGTTAAGCGCACTGGCTGCTCTTGTAGAGGATCTAGGTTCGAATTCCAGACCCACATGGTGGCTGACAAGTGCCTGTAACTCCAATTCCAGGGAATCTGATGCCCTCTTCTGACCTTGGGCACTGCATGACACAGGTGCACTCGCATGCTGGCAATACACTCATACACATAAAAATAATAAATATTAAAAATACTATTTTATGGGTATGAATGTTATGTCTGCATGTAGGTAAGTGCACCCGTGTCGTTCAATGCCCATGGAGGTCAGAAGAGGCTGTCGGATCCGCTGGGACTGGAGTTACGGACAGTTGTTAGCTGCCATGTGGGTGCTGGGATTTGAACTCGGGTCTTCTGCAAGAACAGTCAGCGTTCTTAAACACTGAGCCATCTCTCCAGCCCCAATAAATTTTTTTTTTTAAAAAGGGTACTACCTCTTTCAGAGGACCTGGGTTTAGTTCCCAACACCCACAGGACAGCTAACAACTGTCTGGAACTCCAGCTCCAGGGGATCCAACGCCCTCTTCTGACCTCCTTGGGCATTGCATGCATGAAGTGCACTTAACACATATGCAGGCAAAACACTAATACATAGTCGTGTACTCTAATCCCAGCACTTGAGAGTCAGAGGCAGGCAGTTCTCTGATTTCCATGCCAGCCAGGTTGACAGTGACACTGTGCGCCCGCCAGATTTGACTGTTTATAAATGAACAAAGTAGATACAAAGAGTGAATGAACTGGCCATGGTAGTTCATGCCTATGATCTTAGCACTCAAGAGGGAGAGGCCATCCTTAGTTACATAGCAAGCTCAAGGCCAGCCTGGGCTACAGAGGAAGAGAAAGAATAAGTTATGGGAGTAAGCATTGGAAGGAAAGGAGCAGCTGAGAAGGAGAAGAATTAGACGTACAGGTAGATGGCAGAAGACAATTATTTGTAGGAAAGACTCTTCCTCCAGGGACTTCCCACTTTTTGAGGTCTATGTAGCTGTGAGGCACGATCGAATCTGGCGTCTTTTGTTTCCATCTAGGTGTTCTACTACTCAACAGGAATCTTCAAGGATGCAGGTGTCCAGGAGCCTATCTATGCCACGATTGGAGCGGGTGTGGTTAATACCTTCTTCACTGTAGTTTCTGTAAGTTGGATGGTGTGGAGGTTGGGGGTGGGGATCAGGAATTCTTGGTGCAAGTACTCAAAAGTGGATTGCATGTCTTTGAGCTTGCATCATTTAGTTAAAACTTTTGTTGTTTTAATTCCTCTGGGTAAAAGAACATTGGATGATGAGTGTGAGTAGTCTTTACTCATCCAGAAAATATGGAATGACTGGAAAGGGGGATAGATATAGAAGGGATTGATTGTTATAGTTACCTGGAAAGGGGGTGTGGGGGTAAGGCAGTAACAAATTCTATTACTGTCAAGCAGATTTCAAGTAGCTCACTCAGTATTCCTGAAAGGGAAATCAAATATCATGTCACTTGTCTTTTAGCTGTTTCTGGTAGAAAGGGCAGGAAGGAGAACTCTGCACATGATAGGCCTTGGAGGCATGGCTGTTTGTTCTGTCCTCATGACGGTTTCTTTGGTACTGAAGGTGAGTGTTCTTTGAATGGAAGAAAGATGGGAGGCTTAAAGAGAGGTTATAGTTGACTCTGGCAGGGGCTGGGCTGTTGACCGTGGAGGTCATCAATAAAGTTGAATTTAAGAGAGACAAAATACCCCCCAATTTTTAAAAAAAATTATTAATTTTTTTTTTTTATGTGTATGAATGCATTGCCTGCATGTATGTGAGTGCACCTGTGTTGTGCAATGCCACAGAGGTCAGAAGAGGGCTTCGGATTCCCCTGGAACTGGAGTTAAGTACGGTTTGTAGCCGCCATGTGGGTGCTGGGAATCGAACCCGGGTCCTCTGCAAGAGCAGTCAGTGCTCTTAACCATTGAGCCATCTCTCCAGCCCCAAGATGCCCAAAATTTTAATGAAGATATATGATCAGAGATAGGAAACTGGTGTAGCATGCAGCATGGCTTATACAATGGTTTGATTTATAAGTAGAGTCTCGTGTACTCAAGGCAGAGGTGTGCCACCATGCCCAGTTTTCTTACGTTTATTTGTGTGTATGTGTATGTTTGGGCATACATGTGCCACAGCAATTCCATTTTATCTTTGGTATGGGCATAGAATGACAGGAGAGATTGCATAGCTTGGATTCAGAAGCTCAAGGCTGTGACTCCAGTTTTGAACCACAGGTCCAAAATGGACCCCCAGCCATGCCCCTTCTAATGTGGACGTTTCCTTTGTTCCGGTCTCTTACAGGATGAATATGAAGCGATGAGCTTTGTCTGCATTGCGGCTATCTTGGTCTATGTGGCCTTCTTTGAGATTGGACCAGGCCCCATTCCCTGGTTTATTGTGGCCGAACTCTTCAGCCAGGGCCCCCGGCCAGCTGCGATGGCGGTAGCTGGGTGTTCTAACTGGACCTCCAACTTTCTGGTTGGAATGCTCTTCCCTTCAGCTGCAGTAAGTAAATTAAAACCAAACTCTTCTGTCATGAGCCAGCACACTTAAGCCAACACATGTAAGGTACATTTTAAAGGTAGCTACTCACTCTGAAAGATACTGTGCATCTTTTATTAAACTACATTTTCCTCTTCATTTCCAATGAAATATAGAAAAAGGAAATGATTCAGGAGGCAGAGTCAGGTGGATCTCTGAGATCACGGCAAGCCTGGCCTATATAAGTGAGTTCTGGGCCAGCTGGGGCCACAGGAGACCCTATCTCAAAAAAAGATAAAGGGAATGACAAGCCAAGCATGGTGGCTCATGCCTCTAAGCCCAACACTTGAGGGATTGTGGCAGGAGGATTACTGTAAAGTGGAGGCCAGCCAGGGCCACAATGAGACCCTGTCAAAACAACAGCAAAAAAGACAGGAGGACACAGCTGGGGCTTTCTAAAGGGCCCGAGATGGTACAGGAATCATTTTGCCTAGAAACAGAATGATAGTAGGACTAAGCATAAGAATATTCTAGAATACCTAATCCTTCATCTCGGTTAGCATTGATAACTTCATAGTCCGAAAGGCTCAGTTGGTTTAGATGTTAACAAAGCAGGTAGATCGTATTACAAAATGACCTACAGCTGATTTGTTGCTTTCAGGCTCTTGGCAAACATCTAGAATTCATTTCCTATTTCCATGAGTCTTTTTAGAAGCCTGGCTTTTACATAAAATGGGCTTAAAGTACTCAGGTGTTTGAAAGCAGCTAATTTTTAAACAGGTAAAGGCATGACACAGAATTGCTGAGAAACGTAGTTGGCAGTGGCATCTTAAGTGAACCTCTGGACTGGGCGTGGTGACTCATGACTTTACCCAGCCCCGTGGAGGCCAAGGCAGGCAGATCTCTGAGTCTGAGGCCATCTACATAGGGAGTTCCAGGCCTTACTGTTCCCATTCAGTAGGAACGACTCATAACTTAAGGCCCATCAGAGATCAAAATGTAAGGGAAATTTAGTCAATGACCAGATGTTTGAATCTTTCTTCTTTGTATATTTTACCAGGACCGTTTAGGAGCCTACGTTTTTATTGTCTTTGCTGTCTTCCTCGTGATCTTCCTGATCTTCACCTTCTTCAAAGTCCCTGAGACCCGAGGCAGGACTTTCGAGGATATCACACGGGCCTTTGAAGGGCAGGCTCAGGTTGGGAAAGGCCCTGGGATGGAGATGAACACTGTCAAGGAGTCCCCTGGCAACGCCTGAGTGGACCTCCTTCCACCTCCCTCCTAACATGGAAAGCAACCTCCCCACCCCCCAGGCGGGGAGACCTCATCAGGATGAACCACGACTGCTTCTGAACGCTGCTACTTGATCCCTCCTCACCCCACACACTCCACAAACACTCAGATGAACCCAATGCTGGGGTTAGTCGGATCGTCAATGGCTTTTTAAATATTTCATGTCTTGGACATTCTCTTCTGATCAAGAGAGACCAAGTAAACCTACCTTCATTTCAGGAGGGATTGGCTACCTAGTGTATGACAACTCTGCCAGCTCTTCCTCCCTAAGGTTCTAAGATCCCTTCACTAGGACACACAAGGGAGGAGGAGCAGTGTGTAGTCCCCAGCCTCAGCTTGCCAGCAAACATCTATATACCCAGTGTGGAGGGCAGTGGGTTATTTAACGAGCGCCTTCCTCACTCCACAGTTCTGCAGAGCAAAGTAACTTGAGTTTTATTTATTTTATCTTCAGGTTTTATTGCATAAATATTTATTTTTTTAAGTATAATTCTACCAAATAATGAAAGAGTAAGGAAATTGAGGTTGGAGGGAGGTGTTTAAAGAAGTTGAGTAAAAAAGGTTGGTAATAGAATTGAGGGAGAAATGTTTGTTACTGGTGGGCCTATGAGCTAGTTAGTGCCTCTTGATGATTTCTGTTTTGGACAAAAGCTCTTCGCTGTTATTTCTCAGAAGAGTGTGTGCCTATATAAAAAGCTCATGGTTTCCTTTGGACCTTTTCTTTTAAGATTATAGTTTTTGATGTAGTGTTACTTGAAATCTAAGGTTATTGCTAAGGTAGGCACTATAGTGGTGTTGGGTTTTCCTTTTGGTTGGAGTCCAAAGAAGGGAAAGCTATTTACAGAAAGCCTTTCCTCTTCCCTGGCCCAAAAAGTTTCCCTTTCTAGTGGACTCACTTTTTTGAAAAAAAACCTAACTCTAGTTACTCATCTAGTAGAAAAGCCATATGAATGAGAAACCTAAAAACAGTGGTTCTTGGTAGAGGTTTATTATTTTTCCATTTTGTTTTTTAATAGATTGTATTGATTTTTGTTTAACTTGTAGGTTTAAAGGAATTCAGGGAAGAATGTTCATAGCTAAGTTGGACTTTGTTACCTCAGCCCTTGGAGAGGATTTTTCCTGAACGATTATTACCTAGTTTGAATATATTGTTGCTCTGGGGTGATGGCATGCTTGTCTGTGCCCCTTAGGTCTCAAGCTTCCCTTGTCACCATGCTACTGTGATGTGTGCTCAGTGCCCAGAGGGGCTGTGACTCTGCTAAACACAGTGGTATTGTGAGTAGATGTGCAGTGTGGCCCATGCTTGAAGATATGAATGTACGCGCAGTCACTTTGCTCTGGGTAGAAGTCCTTCTGGTGACTTGTTTCCTTTGTTACTGTAGCTTTCTTTGAATGTTTTCAAAATTCCCTGCCTACATAAGCAACACTGCCTCTGCTCGGTAGAGTATGCACCCAGGATTTAGATTCAGTGCTTCCTGCATGGTGAGGTTGGCAGGGAGGGCTCAGCCTCACTCCAGCTGGGAGAGAAAGACAATGGAGAAAAGAGCTTGGGGAGAGGGAGGCCTTCCTTCAAGAGAATAGGAAACAAATGGCATCTCACTGTTAGAGGAAGTGGCAAGGTACACTCCTGCTATAGGTCACGGAACTTCCACAACCAGCCCCGCTCATTCTCCAATTCTTTTCTAAATGGAGACTACCCCAGTGACCCCCATGATGATCTATTCCCTTTCCCATAGGTTGTGGGATCCCACCATCCCTCATTGGTGCTTACATATTTCAGACCCTTTAGGTAAACCCATGCATATAACAGTATTCCAGTAGTCCGTTAGCACTGCTCCTGTGGTCAAAGAGCCTTTGGATAGAACTCACAGAGCTGTGCAGAGGGGTGTTGCTGGGAAAGAAGACTCCTCCAACTTACCTACTCTGCTCCTCAGTGAGTTGGCAGTAATGCAGGGTGGAATTTTTTCCATTTCTCAGTGACCGAGTTGTGAATATTCACATAGACTTTATTAATGTTACTGTAGTTTTTTGTTTTGAAATAAAAATTCTAAATGTGTATGTTGTGTCACAGACTTTTTTTAGTTTTCAGTTTGGAGTTTTTGAGACAGGGTCTCCCTGTAACCCCAGTTGGGCTGAAGTCACTATGTAGACCAGGCTGGCCTTGATCTCACAGAGATTCAGCTGCCTCTGCAAGTACTGGTATGTACTAAAAGCATGCATCACCATGTCTGGCCCTTTTTTATGTGTATGAGTGTTTTGCCTATATATACTGTGAGGGGTCCATAAAATTCCCTAAATCGACCACTCAGACACTGAGTCTCAGTAAAAAGGAGCGCTTTATTGGAGCCAACTGGTTGGGGACACAGTCTCGAGCTGTACTGCAACCCTGAGCAGTAAAAACGCAGGGCTTTTAAGCAGAAAAACCACAAAGCAGGGGATGTCCGTATAAACTATACACAGAATAACCAAGAAAGGATTGGAACAATCTAGGGCTGATTTCTAGAGACTTTACCTATACAGCCATTGGCTGTCTTACCTGGGGCAGAACGTTCTTTCTCTTCTGCCCCGGATTATTCCCATAGAAACCATACACAGATGTATCAGGTATACTGCCATTGGCCAGCTTACCTGGGGCAGAACGTTCTATCTCTTCTGCCCCAGACCATTTTCATAGAAATTATAAACATACCAGGAAAGGGTTCGAACAATGAAGGGGATTTCCAGAGTCAGGTGGAGGGTAGTTTTTTTTTTCAGAGGATAGGGAGGGGGTCTGAGGGGCACTCTCTTTTAATACTTAAGTGCAATGCCCTCAGAGGGTATCAGATCCCCTGGAACTGGAAATATGGACAGTTATTAGCTGCCATATGGGACTAGGAACTGAACCTGGGTCTTGTGTGAGAGCAGCCAGTGGCTCTTAAACCGAGCCATTTATCTAGTCCTCCTTTTTTTGGTTACTCATTGGGTTTATTGTAATTTAGTAAATAAAAAGCCTTAGGCTGGGCACGGTGGTGTATGCCTTTAATTTAGAGGTAGAGGCAAACCAATCTCTGGGACTTCCAGGTCATCTGGGGGTACAGGAAGACCCTGTCTCAAAAAAAAGAAAACCCAGCTTCCAATCGTGGTTTTGGGAATTAAAAAATGTAACTCAGTAGGTATAGTGTTTATCTGGCATGCATAACCCTGGGTACAACCCTAGCATATCGCAGTACTCCAGTGGTGGTAGAGCCAGGAGATCCTAAGTTCCAAGGTTATCCTCTGCTACATTGCTACATGAGACCTCAGAAAGCAAATCCTGGGTTTGCTATTCAGTACACTACCCGTCATGACCTTGAGTAAGCTTCTCAGTCTTAGAAGTACAGGATAGCAAGGCTTTTGTGTATTGCTCATCCTATGTAGCACATTGTCTGGCTTTCTCCAGTGACAATTAGCTGACTCCTCCGCATTTTTCTCCCTGTACCTCCTCCAGGACTGCCTATGTAGACCAGGCTGGCCTTGAACTCAAAACAGAGATCTGCCTGCCTCTGCTGTGATTAAAGGTGTGAGCCACCATGCTGGGCCTTCTAGTCTTTCTTAAGCTCATCCCATGCTTTTTCAGAGGAAGTGTGTGATGGTGTATCCATGGACAGCTCCCAGCCACAAGGAAAAAAATAAAAAATTAAGCCTGTGTGTAGTGTATTACACAACCTTCCAGGGCAGTTGGCATTTATTTCTAGCCTGTTCCTATAAAACACGTACTATGGACACTGCATCCATTTGCATTCTGCACCTTCATCTGTTAATGTACTGTGAACTGCAAATACTTAATTGGTTGCCTTATTTCTACTTAGTGTAGTCATGAGCTTTATTTATTTATTTATTTATTTGGTCTTTTTGAGACAGGGTCTCCCTATAGCCCCAGCTGGCCTGAAACTCACTAGATCAGGATGGCCTTGAATTCACAAAGATACCACCCCCACCCCAAGTGCTGGGATTAAAGGCATGCGCCAATATGCCCACCACGCCCAGCTACTTTATTATTTTTTGAGACAGGGTCTTGGTTTGTAGCCCCGCTGGCCTGCAACTCCATATGCAGCTGAAAACGACTGAACTGCACATCTCTCTGCCTCCACCTCCCAAGTGCTGTAGTTACTGTTAAGCACCACCAGCTCCTACCAGATCTTTATGGGTAGAAACATGAATCCAGATGGCATGCTTACTCTTCTGGACTATTTATAAGGGTGGTGTTACCCAATATGTGATTCTCCTTTTCTAGGGGGTGGGGAATTGACCACAGGGCCTCACACATGCTAGGAAAGTGCCCTACCACTGAGCTATATCTTTTTAATTATTTTGATACAGGGAGGATCTCACTAAATTGCCCAATGATTTTTCTTTTCTTTTTCTTTATTTTTTTTTAATTTTTGGTTTTATTTTTATGACAGTGCCTCACTGTGTAGCCTAAGCTGGTCTAGAACTTGCTATGTAGACCAGGCTGGCCTCAGACTCACAGATTCACCTGCCCCTCTGCCTCCCAAGTGCTGAGATTAAAGACATGTGCCACCATGCCTGGCTTTAAAATTTTTTTTTATTACTTTATTGCTTTTATTTTATGTGCATGAGTGTATTACCTGCATGTATATAAGCGCACTCATATTGTGCAATGCCCATGGAAGTCAGAAGAAGGTGTTGGATCCCCTGGAACTGGAATTACGGGATGGTTGCTAGCTGCCATGTGGGTACTGAGAACTGAACCTGGGTCTTCTGCAAAAGCTGCCAGTGCTATGAATCACTGGGCCATCTCCAGCACCTTTTTAAATATTTTATAATTTTTATTTTTATGTGTATGGATGTTCTACTTGCATGAATGTAAGTGCACCATGTGCATGCAATGCCCACAGATGCCAGAAGAGGGTGTCAGATCCTCCAGAACTGAAAAACTGGAGTTACAGTTGTTAGCTGCCATGTGGGTACTGGGACTTGAACCCGAGTCCTGTGGAAGAACAAGTGTTTCTAACTGCTGAGCCATGTTTCCTTCCTTCTAGAAAGAAGGCAGAAGGGAGGGGGGGGAGGGAGGAAGGAAGGCACTCCCTCAATAGACTAATGTAGTGATTACTTCAGAGCCCATATGATCCAGTCGAATCCTTAACCAGTCTCAAACGCCTGTGTTCCAAGCAAATGAAACTAAAACAAATGTGTCCTACCACCCTATTTTGCACCCATGATGGTTGTGAGCACTACAATCTAGAAAGTAAGCAGAATGTTGAACAGACAGGACTTTGGGCAGCACCTCAGGCCTTTAAATGAAATTATAGATTGTTCACACATGAAAACACCAGGGACCACTCCAAGACTGACCTTTGTGTTACCAGTGAAGAGTTTCAGGACACTCAATGTGGGAGATTAGACTTTTTAAAAATTACATTTATTTACCTATTTTGTTGAGGGGTGGGCACACATGTCACAGCAGGCAGGTGGTAGTCAGAGGACAAAGTTACAGGAGTCAGTTCTCTCTCTCCCTCATGTGGTCTCAGGAATCAAATTTAGGTAGGCAGTCAGGTAGGCAAGCCCCTTTATATACTGAGCCGTCTCACTGACTCAAGATTAAATTTTGATTCTTAGTTGTAGAGAAAAGGTGGACCTTATCAGAATTGAACAAACCAGAAAGATTACTGAAAAGGTACACTGATAATTTTCATAGGAGAAGAACTGATAGCACATAATAGAAAAGGCCAAATATACAAAGGAGAAGCAGGGTTTGAGAGAATAAAGAGGAGAACAACATTAATATCTGCAAAGACATATTTGTCTAAGGGAGTGAAATATTAAGCATCTTTTCTGCTAATTGAATTTCTGTCTTAATGCGTGACTTAGAATTATTTTTATTGTAGAATGACTGACTTCTTCCTTATAGTGAATTAAGGACAAGACTTGTCAATGTGGAGAACATGAGTTACTTTGTTTCATTAGTGATTATTGTTGTTATTAGTGAGACAGGATCTCATGTAGCACAGGTTAGCCTGAAACTGGATATGTACTAGAGGATGACCTTGAATCCCTGATCCTCTTGCCTCCATCTTCCCAGGAGACTTACAGGCATATATCACCAGTCAACATGTCCAGTTCATTAGGAGCAGTTTTGGTAGAGCGATGTGGTTGAATCTTGATTGTTGGACCTGGAGGGACAGCTCAGCAGTTAAGAGCACTAGCTGCTCTTGCAAAGGACCCAGGTTCAGCTGCCAGCACCCACATGGTAGCTAGCAACCGGTTAACAACCCCAGCTCCCAGGGAGCCAGTGCACTCTTCTGCCCTCTTTGGGCACTGCCCACATGTGGTGCATTTACATACATTCAAGCAAAGCACTCACATACAGAAAACAAAATCAAATAAATTTATAAAATGAAAACCCAAATGTCTTGGATGTAAAATAGGAAACTAAATATACTTAGCAAAAGTGGGAGCTAAGAATGCTGATGCATACCAGTAATCTCAGTACTCTGGAGATGGAGACAGGGAGAACAGCATTCAAGGTTATGCTCCCTCAGCTATAAAGTGTGTTTTAGGCTAGCCTAGGCTACATGGAACCCTGTCTCAAAAAAACAAACAACAAAAATGGGCTGGCAAGATGGCTCAGTGGGTCACTTGCTATGAAGCCTGACAACCTGTATCCAATCCCCAAGATACACATGGTGGAAGGAGAGAACCAATTCCCACAAGTTGTTCTCCACACCCACGTCCTTTGCCACTGTGGCAGGCATACCCCAACCCACCAAAAAAAAAAATTTTTTTTTAAACAATCAAGAAGTTTTCCCTCTTCTGGGGATGGTGCTTAGAGGCACACAGAATGATCCAGCTTTTATTTTTGTTAATTTATTTTTCTTTTAATTGTATGAGTATTTTATCTGTATGTGTGCAAGTGTACTCATATCATGCAGTGCCCACAGAGGCCAGAAGAGGGCGTTAGATTCCCTGGAGCTGGAGTTCTGGAGTTCTCTAGAGTCTTGCAGAGGACCTGGGTTCAGTTCCCAGCACCTACTGGTTGGCTCACAACCATCTGTAACTCCAATTCCAGAGGATCTG